AAAAAAATTTCCCAGTGGGTTAAAAGTTTGAAATAGTCTTATAATTTATAGAATTATCATGGTTGTGATTCAGCTACAAGGTTTATTGATAGTTATTTCATAGTTACAAAGAAAATCCTCACAAATGCTTAAGTAAACAACACTTTGAGAAAGTTTTATTTCATCATGTTGATTATAACGTGTAGAAAAAGCAAACAAAACAAAGAAAAACCTATTAAGTGTTAAAGCGCTCTGTGCTTCATGCTTCAGTGTGGGGAGTAGGTTTGCAGGCTGTCAATGAGCCATCAAAAATGGTCAGAATCAGAAATATAATAAGAAAAGCCAGAACATTCTCTTGTGTTTCTTTGAATTCAGGCCACATTTCAGGCAATCAGTCTCTAAAATGGCTGTTTCAAATTTCTAGAACCACTGTGTTCTATAACAGTGTTGGAAAAAAATTCTCAACCAAAGAAATATGTATCTGACTATTCTTTAAAGAATGAGAGAAAAAAAAAAAACAGGTAAAGCTGAGTATTGCAGCTTTTCCTACTCATTTGCCTCAACATGTAACGCATGCACCAGCGATCTGTTTATAGTTCTGCTGAACTATAAACGCGGTTCCTGCTCCCCTCTCTAGATGCAGCTCTAAAACAGACTTTTATCGAAACTCTTTGCACCATTATTATGCATTAAGAACAATTTTGATGAGTAAAATGTGGTTATTTAACAAAAATACTATCATTTAAATTCTAAAAGCAGTTTGCCCCACTGCACTTTACAGTTCAATCAAAGCTGGAGCAGGAAAGAGCCACAGGTAAGACCCTCTGTTTCTGTGAAATGGAGACCAACATTGGAACATGTTGAAGAATACTTCACAGTTATCTTTTTCAAAAAATAACATAGTGTACAAGTAAGATATGGGTTCTGAATAGTGTTGCACCGATACCGATACAAGTATCGGGCGGGGCCCCGATCCAGCACTAAAATGCTGGTATCGTGAGACGTGAGTACCAACAAATAGGACACCGATACCATTTTGAGAAACAAAATTTTATTCAACTATTGTCACCCACTCCTGGTAGGCAATCAAAAGTTCTACTGGATTCACTTTGTATTAGATTTTTTCCTGCTTCACAAAGGTAGGCAGCAGCTTGACAAAGACATGATGGAAATTATTTTACATCCAAGCAGTATAGAGATCTTTCATATATACACACACATCAATTTCAAAAAGATGGTATCGGTCGATACTGAACAGCCAGATATCGGGTATCGTATCGGAGCCAAAAAATGGCATCGGTGCAACACTAGTTCTGAATTGGCAGGTATTAAAAAAACAATGTAAAAGATTTTGCAACATTCTTATGTACTGTCTGCAGTAGGCGTAACACTGAAGAGAAACACATCAAAGTCATGATTACGTAGTTATTACCATTCATCTTAATGTTTTCCCCTCAGTTCATCGGTGTTCCAATAGTTAATATAAATGTATTCATTCGATGTTTTGTGTGACATTTGCAAACAAAATAGTGTTTTTAAAGGAGTTCATACTGTTTTGAAAGTACAGTTTAATTTTGAAGGACATTTAGGAGGAGTTTTTTGAATTTTGTGTAGAGTTCCGGATATTCTATGAGAAATGCTGTCAGAGCCTTCGTGTAAACAAATTAGAAAAACTGTAATAAATGAATGTTTTAGAGGCTGACTGGTAAAATAAATAGGTAATTAATAGGTTATAGATGTTGATGTTTTATTGCAGAGACAGGGCTCTTTTGCAACAACACATATTATTAGATCCCTTGTGGACTTCCAGACATTTATCTCCAAAGAAATCAAACAGATTGAACTTGACGCTGCTTTTTATCTCAGGTATGATTTATGATAAAGCTTATTGATGCCAACAAAGTTATTCACTAATTCAAAACTAAGCAATATATTTAAGCGGCTTTGACCTGCTTGTCTGTGTCGTTTCTCTCTAAGCTGCTTGGACATCTTCTCTCCAACTCCTTCCTTTCAAGCTGAGTCTCACATTGTTTTCATGACTGTAATAAGCCTGTTTCTTTCAACACTCTGGTTATTTCAGCATCTGCTTTAGGTTTTTTTTTCAAATAACATCTGACCAAATGTAGGGATTTGGTTGAAGAGAAGCTCTGTTTAAAGGTCAGTTAATAACTTAGCTGCAGCTGTCCTGGAGCCTGATCTACGAATGCTTTGGCAGAATGAAAACTCATTCAAACTTTGATAATGTGAGCAAAGCTGGTTTACTAACTAGGTGCACAGGGTGCTGGGTCTTTAAAATGAGCAGATCCATCTTAGGGCGCTATAAAAAAAAAAGAACACGTTTTTTGCTCCTAAAACTGCAAGAACACAATTATGCCATATTATTCAGTCCGGTCTTTGGGGTTCTTGCTACTATTTATCAACACATCAAACTGTTTTTCTCACAGTGTGAGGCTCCTCAAACTAATGTGTGATTGGTCAGGATTTGGATTCACTTTGTCAAGTAAGAAAAGTTGGGAGGATGTTCTGTTTTATTTTTGGGTGCGGAAACCTGTGCAGTGATCTGTTATGCACTCAGTAGATGGGACTTTCTATGTTTTTCAGTTTTCTTTTCTTGAACTTGCAACTGTGAAAAAGAGAAATATTGCTTGGTTCCTGTGGAATATGTAACAACCTTTAGCTTGTTTGCTTCAATGAATATGCAGAACATGTGCTGATCATCTGAATGTGCAAAATGCTGGGAGGAAGATATGCACATGTATTTAATTAAAACCTACTTAAACCCTTATTTATCAATCCTGAAATGCATTTAGGGTGCAGTTTATGCATCACTATGTAATATTTAATTTCCAGGTACCAGCAGACTGCGACTGCTTAACGGCATGCCTTGCTTCATCCTTTCCACATTCGTTTTAAAGACTGAAGTCAGTGCGACTAAATTTCCCTGAGAGACTGTATATTCGTGCAAATTTTGCAGGGTTGATATTCAGGCAATGCAATTGATTTTTTACATGTTTACTGTGAAATAATCAAGCATGACGTTATATTTATCTGCTTCAAGGCCTAAAACTTGATTAGTTCCTGATGAGTCTGGTGAGGTGGGGGGAGGGAAGGGTGGTAGTGAAGGAATGCAGGACAAAACCAATGTTAAACATATCTATTTGATGCAGTTAGAATTATTACCTCATCACTATTCATCTTTCCACAGCCACTGGAATGTATGTCAGTCCATTTGTAGGTGATGGGGACGTCAGGATTTTTCCACGCTATGTGCTGGTCCTCATGGGAAACATTGTCTTCCCTCAGGCAAAACAATACAGCTTTTCTCCACTGGGGGACCCAAAATCGACCAAAACTGAACGTTCTTTAGAACTGTTTTAACAGCAGTGATTGCCCTACACTTATATATATCACCTCTTACGGTAAAACCTTTCTAAAATATGTCAAATATTCTCATCAGCAGCAAACCACACCAAGGTAAAGAGACAGTGTATAACAAATTTGGCTTTTTATTAGCAAAAATTAGATATTGCTTTAAAAAACATTCTGCAAAAGTCTAACAGCATCAGATCAAAAATGAAAAAGTTCTTGCAGCTTAGAATTAGAAGTTTATGAATAAATTGGTGAACCCAATGAGAGATGCCTTGTATTTTTGATCAGATTAGCTGAAAGGGGAAAACCCTGTCAGTCTCTTTTACCTGTACCTGAAAACATGTTGTGGGTGGTGGAGGGGTTTAAAACAAGCAACACAACTTTAGGTTAAGGAATTAACCCCGGTTCTCTGAAACATGAGTGAGGTATCTCACTATGGGACACGCCCCCCACCGCTGTCTCCAGAAGCACTATAACATTACGCCAGCCCTGACTGGCTCACGGAGGTGACGTCTGCTACTGGGGAGGGACTTATCCCCAGTATAGAAACAGACGTCACGCTGGTGATCCTCAGTCTCGTAAGCACACCTCTTCCTCGCTCCAGGCAAGGAGGGTGATCTGGTGAGATACCTCACTCATGTTTCAGAGAACCGGGGTTAATTCCTTAACCTAAAGTTCTCTTTCAACATTCGTTTCGGTATCTCACTATGGGATGTTGTAACTCCCGTATTGCCAGATAAGCTTACTCGAGGACCTAACTTATAAAGGTGAAGATCCTACACCCAGAACCACGTGGGCCAGTGAGGGTGTAGTAACATCCAACCTATAGAACCTAGTGAAGGTGTGAGGAGTTGCCCAACTGGCAGCCCCACAAATGTCCTCCAAAGGTGTACCCTGAAACATTGCCCAGGATGATGCCATCCCACGAGTGGAATGAGCTCGCAGGCCTACAGGGGGTGGGAGGCCCTTAACCTCATAGGCCATGATAATAGCCCCCACTATCCAATGTGAGAGACGTTGTTTAGTGAGGGGCTTCCCTTTATGTGGCGGCGACCATGATACAAACAGCTGATCCGATTTGCGGAAACCAGCCGTCTTCTCCACATACACCTTCAGAGCTCGTACTGGGCAGAGTGAGTGGAGTCGCTCATGCTCCTGAGAGGCAAATGGTGGAGGGTAGAAAGCCACCAACTCAAGGGGACGGCATGACAGTGCGGGGTTAATGACCTTTGGTATAAACGCAGGGTTAGGTTTCAGTACCACCTTAGAGTCCCCACTGAAGAACTGCATACAGGATGGATTCACTGAAAGCGCGTGGAGGTCGCTCACACGCTTAGCAGAGACCAGAGCAATTAACAGAGCCGTCTTAAACGACAGTATTTTAAGCTCAGCCTGATGCAACGGTTCGAACGGTGCACATGATAGGGCCTCAAGTACCACCGGTAGGTCCCATGGGGGAGTTAAGCTCCTTGACACTGGGCGGAGTCGTCGGGCGCCCTTCATAAACTGGCACACCAATGGGTGCTGCCCTACTGTTTTGTCACCAAAACCAATATGGCAAGCTGAGAGAGCGGCAAGGTACACCTTCACAGTGGAAAATGCCAGGCCTTTATCCAGCAGCTCCTGCAGGAATGTCAGGATGAGTGGCACAGGGCTCTGCATGGCGCTCACCATGGTTTTTGTGCACCAGCTTTCAAATGCACGCCATTTACCTTCATATGCGCTGTTCGTGGAAACAGCTCTTGCACTCTGAATAGTTTTAATGACGTTCGAAGGGAGCCCATTGGCAGTCAGATTCACCCTCTCACAGGCCAGGCCCAAAGAGCTAAACGTTCTGGATGAGGATGAAATATCTCTCCACGAGCCTGCGTCAGCAGATCTCTGCGAAGAGGAAGCCGCCATGGCTCGCCGTACAGTGACTGGAAGATCTCTGCTAGCCAGTGTTTCCCCGCCCAACGGGGGGCTATAAGAATGAGTACATGTTTCCCCGCCCGTACTCTGGCGAGTGTAGGAGTAATGAGCTCCAGTGGGGGAAAGGCATACAGTAGAGCCTGTGGCCACTTGTGTGCCAGTGCATCCAGTCCCAGGGGAGCACCTTCTCCGGTCAGGGAGAAAAACCTTGGACAGTGAGCATTCTCCTCTGATGCAAAGAGGTCGACCTCCGCATGGCCGTATCTCTCCCAAATTTGAGCTACAACCTCGCTGTGGAGTTTCCACTCCCTGTAGCGGGGATTGCCTCTTGATAGCAAGTCTGCGCCCCTGTTCATGACTCCTGGTACATGGATCGCTCTCAGTGACAGCAGGCGTGAGCTGGTCCAGACTATCAGTCTGTGTGCCAGCGTGTGTAACTGATGAGAGCGCAGACCACCCTGTCTGTTGATGTAAGCGACCACCGTTGTATTGTCTGTCCTCACTAAAACATGGTGCCCTCTGATGAAGGGCAGAAAGTGTCTTAGTGCCAGCATCACGGCCAGAAGCTCCAGACAATTTATGTGAGCTGTCTGTGTCAGAGAGCTCCATGTGCCATTCACCATCCTGCCCTCGTGCGTGGCACCCCAGCCTGTCAACGAGGCATCTGTGGTGATAACCTTCCTTGTTTGGATGGTTCCCATGGTAACCCCGGTATTGAGAAATGTGGGGCTTTTCCACGGGCTCAAAGCTCGTGCGCATGTTGGAGAAATCATCACCTTGCGGTGAGCGTGTCGGACCAGGTTCAGCCGAAGGGACGCAACCCAGCGTTGAAAAGGGCGCATATGTGAACGGCCTAACTGGATGACGGCCAGCGCTGACGCCATCAGACCCAACAGTCTGTGGCAGAGCCTGAGTTTCACATGCGCGCCTCTGCGAAAGAGTGCCAGACAAGCCCGAAAGGCTTCCTCTCTTTCCACCGAAAGGCGCGCTCTGAACTCGTTGGAGTTCAGGGACAGACCAATAAAAGTGATTGTTTGCACCGGGGTTAGAATGCTCTTTTCCCGGTTTATTGAGAAACCTAGAGCCGCCAGATGAGACGTAAGCATCTCTGCGTGCGTCATGAGCTCCGCTGGGGACTGAGCTGCAATAAGCCAGTCGTCTATATAAGTTGCCAGGCGTACGCCTTTCTCCCTCAGAGGAGCGACTGCAGCCTCGGTGCATTTTACAAACACCCGTGGGCTGAGCGACAGGCCAAAGGGAAGTACGAGATACTCGTACATCTTTCCCTGAAATGCAAACCTGAGATATTTTCTGTGAGGAGGGTATATAGGGATGTGAAAGTACGCGTCTTTTAAATCGACGGAGATAAACCAGTCTCCGCGGCGAACAAACCGTATCAGAGCTGCATGGGTCAGCATCCTGAACGTATACTTTCTCAGATATGTGTTCAGAGCTCGCAGATCCAATATAGGTCGCAGGCCCCTGTCCTTTTTCGGGACGAGGAAGTACCTGGAGTAAAATCCCTCCTCGCTTTCCTCCTGGGAAAGCAGCCGGATTGCGTTTTTGTTCAGCAGGGAAATGATCTCTTCCTGCAAGATGTGTGCATGTTCCCCCCGAGCATGAGATTGTACTATGCCCCTGAAACGGGGTGGGGCTGCGGCAAACTGGAGCCTGTATCCTCTGGACACAGTCTTTATTACCCAGTCCGATGCCCCGCACGCTCGCCACAGCTGGCTTTTGCCGGCTAGTGGGCCAAGGTGTGCTCCTGACCGATCTCTTGGCGGTACTAGCTGAGGGAGCTGCAGCACAGCTGTGGTGTTCATCCGCGGCTGCCCTGAATCCGCTTCCTCTTTTGCAGAGATAGCGGCCGGTTGTGCCAAACGTGGAGCGAGGGCTCCACCTTGTGGCCTCATGTGCAGCCGCACGGCTGTGTTCTGTTCCTGTGTCATTTTCAATATGTTTCCCATATTTTTTGGTTGTGGCTGCACCCTCGGCTTTTGGCCTGGTTGTGTGCCAGGATATATTTTTATTAAACATTTTCTGAAGGGGGGAAAAAGAGTGTTTGGGCACTGGTGTGTGCTTGTAAACCACTGTGGCTCCAACGAGCTCTCCGGGTGGGTCACCTTCCTCCTCTTCAACCGGCTCTGAACTGTGAGATCTAACTCTGGCTCTGCAGACCGTTTCAGTAGCCCTGAACAAGGCTTCGTTAACTGGAAAAGACCATTTCTGGGTGGGGTTGCAGGTGTCTGGCAGTGCCTGCTCCCCGACCCCAAAGCCAGCTCCCTAGGTAGCGCGCCTCTTTTTCTTTGCGCTCGTTGTGACGGGAGAGGCAGTTTGGTTGTCCGGTGCAGCCGGCGGAACGAAGGGTTTCCTTCCCCACGATCCTTTAGGCTCGATGTGCTTCACACGGTCGCGGTCAGCTGACTGCGACTGCTGACTGCCGCTGCCTGGGCGGAAGCTTGGCGGGGCATCGCTGCCGGAGGAGGCTGTGTTCTTCTGGGCAGGCAGAGTTTGAGCGCTTCGCCTTCTCTCTTTTTCTACTCACAGCGCTTTTGCATGGCCGCAACGGTAGGACCGAACAATCCCTTCGGGTCCACCGGTGTGTCGAGGAGATGGTTTTTCTCTCTCTGTGACAGGCTGGACAGGTTGAGCCACCTGGCCCTCTCTTGGGTGACCATCAGGGCCATGGCTCTTCCGGAGGCCTGGACAGCGCTTCTGTGGAGGCGAAGGCATAGGTCTGTCACCACGCACACTTCTTCCCACAGACTTTCGCTTGGTGCCCCCGTCATCTGCTCCTGTAGCTCTGCTTGGTAAGCGAGAAGGAGAGATGAAGCGTTAAGCGCCTTCACCGATGCAGCCACCGCTTTGTAGCTCTTATCATTCAGAGCGGATTGAAAGGAATCTGCTTTGAAAGGGAAAGCGGGTCCTGCCGCCGCCACTGCAGGTTTCTGTGATGGGTGCAGGTGAGAAGCAAGCAGCGGTTCCACAGGAGGTAAATGTGAGAAGCCGCTGTCCTCCATGCCAACCCAATCCAGCGCTGACCCTCCCAGGACGGGGTTCTTAGCGGTGAGAGGTTTGGACCAGGACCGGGTCGCTTCTTCAATGCACTCCGGAAAAACCGGCAGGAGCTGCCTGGTGGAAGATTTGGCCTTGGGGAGCCTTTTCCCTTCATACCGGGATGTGGTGGTCTCGGTGAAGGTCTCAGGCCATTCAATGCCTAGCTTTACAGCCGCTCTTCTACAGACATCGTGTAGGTCCATTGCAGACGGGTTTGGGGAGCCGCTGCGAGTGTCACCCACCTCCACTGGCTTTGCAGCCAGTGGGATGATGAAAGGCCCGCAGTCCTGCTCGTAGTCGTCAGACCCGAGGCTAACGGATTCCACCTCCGAGTCGGATTCTGCGCCCGCAGGGTCGCAAAGATCCGGGAGGGCGGCCTCATCTTCCTCCGGGTCAGTTAGTGGCGCGACAGCGTCGAGCTGGTCCGCCCAACTGGGTCCGGTGAATAGGGGCTCTCCCTCTTCGGTGACAGTGAGCACTGGTGGTGGGGGGTTGGCTACCTCCATCACAGGGTCCACCTCCGACAGGCTAGCTTGGCGCGCTAGCCTGCGCCGACGAGATTTGAGGGAGAGCCGAGCACAGTGCTCACAGCTAGCTGGCGACGTTATGCCGTCCCGGGCATGTTGCAGCCCCAGGCACGAAGCGCAGACAGGATGGGTGTCTGCCCCAGCTATAAGGCTGCCGCATGTGCAGGCTCTAGCAGGTGGCTTGCCCTTGTCCATGGCGAGAACAAGTTCAAGCTGCCTTGTAAGCTCCGAAAATTAGAAAGCAGCTAGTTTGGTGACTAGTTGCCGCTGCTGCTGTTTGGTGACAGGCCAGCAGTGGAAAGGGAACTCGGAACAGCCGAATACTGTACTGAGTAGCGTTCGTTGACCGAGTTGTTAGCTCGCTCTGTGAACAGTTAAGCTAGCTCAATACTTGCTGTATTAGCCGTCCGAGTAAGCTTCTGGGAGCGAGAAGAGGTTTTAGACTGAGGATCACCAGCGTGACGTCTGTTTCTATACTGGGGATAAGTCCCTCCCCAGTAGCAGACGTCACCTCCGTGAGCCAGTCAGGGCTGGCGTAATGTTATAGTGCTTCTGGAGACAGCGCTGGGGGGCGTGTCCCATAGTGAGATACCGAAACGAATGTTGAAAGAGAACTTAAGATCATCCTTCCTTCCACTTTGTGTTTCAATGGAAGTCCTTCGGTACTCTTTGTCCAGTAAGAGGAAAGAAAAACAAACCCATTAAAGAAAACAAAGCAATAACCTGGTAACCTGAGTCCGCCAGATGGATTTGCTCGGCATATCCATCTGGAAACCTTCCGTTGAAGTAATTTTGGGAAGGGCCGAAAATACTGGTTAGTTGATTGTCCTATGTTGGTGATAGACGGGCCAAATAAACCAATCAGATCAACGAAGCATATGATGTACTAACAGAGCGACGACGAAAACACAACCACAAGCCAGGCTACTCTTGCCGAAACCAGTCGGGAAAAGAGCAAAAACATCTTTTCCTCTGAGAAAAGCCTCCAGAGCAGTGTTTTGCTCTTCTTTCAGTGAAGAAATACTCTGTAATTCCAATAAAACTTGCTCGATAGCCACACTAATGCTAGTTTCATCGGCTGAAGCCGCCATGTTCTTTAGACTGAACTGTCGCGCTTCTCGTTGTGTCACACCTCAACCCGCCTCAAAGCCAACGCTGATTGGACGTTCGTTTGGTGAACGGCTCCAAATTTTCTTTAACGGAGAGTCTCCAGACTGATCTGCGAGTGAAACCTTGAAAGCTTGCGAGATCAGGATGGTCTCACGAGGCTAATAACCTGGAGGAATTGGCATCTCTGCAGCTTTTAGCAGGTGGAGAGCTAAGGTTCAAAATTGAACAGATTATTTTCAAGATATGCACAAGCAAGTAATGCTTTATTAATACTCAAATATTTTGAAAAACAAAAATATGTCACACTAATTTAACACATTTGACTTAGCAGAAATAATGAGTTTTAACTACTCAGTTTAATAAATGACTTGTAACATTCGGGTTTACAGTTTATCCCATCTCTGTCCAAACAGCGTCTTTACTGTTCAATGCAGACATCATTACTCTTTTTATGGGGACATAAAGTTCAGTTTCCTTTGACCAATCTTTTTTTATTGGATTGCTTTGGATGGTGAAAGTTCACTTATGTTCCAGATGCTCTGATACTATCACAGTAAAACTTCAAAAGTAAGTTCAACTCAAATGATTTGGTAAAAAAAAACCCAACTAAATTAAACCATTAAAGCATATTATCTCAAAATATTACGTGAAATAATAAGTAGATAAGGTTACATTTTAATAATTTGATCAAACTGTTTCATTCAGTCTGTTAAAAGCTAAAATTGATCTTAAATACTATACTATACTATTGTAACCTGGTTGTATTTCTCTTTTGTTATAATTACACAAAATGTTTTTATTTGTTTATTTGTATTTTTACTTACCTGACTGAAAAACCTCTAGAAGATGTCATTGTTTTAACTGTGCTGCTACTGTAAGAGTGGAAGCCCCTCCTTTTGACTTCTTCTGTGGTATTGTCTTTAAATTGTCTGCACCCCTTAGACCCTCCTCTTTTGTCATGTTGTCCTGCGGGAGAGGTGTGTGCCATTTATTTTTCATCTGAATAAATCCAGTTTATTTATAGAACTATTAAGTTAATTTTTGTTATGTACTTCTGTTTTGTGTAGGACTTGGAGCGGGCAGCCAATAACACAGGATCCGGTTACACTATACTATACTATACTATACTATACTATACTATACTATACTATACTATACTATACTATACTATACTATACTATACTATACTATACTATACTATACTATACTATACTATACTATACTATACTATACTATACTATACTATACTATACTATACTATTTATACAATACTAAATAGAGTGGTACAGGTTAAAACAGGTTAGCCATTTATGTCCACTGGAGATTATGACACCAAACCATAATAAGTTAGCTATACCTAATTAATACACATATTTAGATCAATCCATAGGTTTGAGTTTACAGTACACAGTATTAGTTCAAATCATTGTACTTGTTTTTTACAAAATAAAGAGTTTTAATTTCTTAGCTTAATTAATAAGTTTTAACATCCAGGTTTACATTGAAGCTTTATCCTTGGACATATGGAGGATCAGCTCTACCATATTTAAAGTTGTACGGAGCTTCTATTTAAATTTCAAATTATTCTGGCTTAAACATGTATATAAATGTATTCTTTATCAGAGCATATTGTCCCAAAAGTTAGAAAATTTCTATTTTTAAAAGAATCCTGTATTAAAATCTGTATTATAATTCTTTTTTTTATTATCTTATGCAGGCCAGTTAGTTATACATCAGCTTGTACATCTAAATTCAGCCAATCATATATCAACGGTCATCTGTAAACACAATAAACAAATAAATGTAGGTAGAAATTAAATTAAACAGTGCGACATAAATGTATTTATCTCTTTTAATTAGCCTCTTTATTCATTTGCCTTTGTAATAGTTACCTTATTTATTTATTATCTGTTATAATCTTCAACATTATAATTTAATGCCTATCTACATGTATTTGTTTATTGTATTTTTTGAGGCAATTTATTGTATTTTATTTATTTATTGAGTATTTGTTTATTTCTATATATTTTTTTAAAAACGGTAGAGCTGGTCCTCCATAGCAGACGACTGTATGTGGAGTAAAAGGTCTTAAAACATTAAAAGTTGTTAACTATTCCTTTCATTTTTAACTGCGGCTGAGCTAATAAAAATACGCTTGCACCTGGTGAATGTGGTAATGTTGAACTTGTCGTTGGACACATTAACACGCTCTGTAACAGTAGTCAAGTGTTTGCATATAAAAAGGGATCTTGTCTGTTTTTTCTTTTTTTTTTTTTTTTGCTTTTT